TTCTGAAATTCAGGTGGGATAGACTCAAAGTCATATTTTGGTTGCCTTGGATTTGGTTTAATTTTCCTCAGCTTTAGCTTGAATTTGCATATGAGTAGATGGTGGTCTGTTCCACAATCAGCTCCTGGCCTAGTTTTCACAGCTGATATTGATTAATTTCCTATAGATCAATAAAATCTCCTTTCTTTTATTAGTGGATATTGTAGTAGCCACCTAAAGAGTGAAAGTGATTGGCAGATTAAATAAAAATGTATTATCATAAACTATCAGTCTCTGAATGACCCACTAGGAGGTCAAATATGGTTGATTCCAACTTAAAGGTACATAACAGTAACAATATAAAACAATAGAAACAATTATATATATATATTACGTGTGTGTACGTGTGCATGTCTTTGTTTCTTTCATAGCAGTGGATTTTGAGTGATCTAAAGATTCAGAGATCAGGATTTGCTGAAGTTCGCCGCAAAGCTTAAAGTGGAGTTGGATTGCAAGGCTAGGCCACATTCAAGGAGAAGGTCTAGACTAAGTTCTTAGAAGTAAAGTTTAAACATGAACATCTGTCCCAGTTTCCATCCTGGTCTGCTTTCATATTGTTAGGTGCTATTAAGTCAAAAGTGACTCACAGTGACCCTGTCAACAACACATTTGAACTCTACGGTGCATAAAAACAACAAAAAGAACAATACAGATACTAAAATATGACTGTCAACTCACCTAATAACCATAACTCACAATAATTAGGATAAGAAAGATGTTTGACTTACTTGGATCTGATAAGATAGAATCTGTTTTCGGTAGAAATTGATCACAACGGACTCCTTGGTAACCTTCTTTGCACCTGGAAAAATAAACAAATAACAAACATAAGCACATGGTTCTGAAAATTTTGTTTTAAGATCTCAGTGAGTAAATTAGCCACTGATTATATCATATATTAGTACATTCATGTTTTTGTATTATCTCTTTCAGTTCTCTATTTCTAAACCTTTTTTCTGATTCTGATTTCATTTTTTTTTCTTTTACACCTCTATATGCTTTATCCAATGTATATATTATTTAACCCAGTGCCATTAGGTTGAGACCAACTCATAGCTGAGCCTCCATTGTGAGGCTATAAATCACATGGAAAGGGTTTATCCTTATTTCCCCAGAGCTCCCGAGAGGTGTCACTCTCTGGAAAGCGATATCATGCTTGGAAAACTAACTTGCTAGTGAATTTGAATCACCAGAGAAGTGCTGCTTTTGAGTGAGTAAACCAACTCCCAACAGAATATGTCCCCAGCGTTTCTTTCAATAAATATCGTGAATAGAATATTAAGATGTCCTCTGTGCTATGTATTTAATGTTGTTTTTATGCACCATTGAGTCGCCTACAACTCATAGCGGCCATCCTGAGCTAATTTCACTGTCACCAACACAACTACCCCGTTTACCCCAGTCACTGAATCAATCCACCTTGTTGAGGGTTCTCCACTCCTGTGCTGTTGCTCCACCCTCCCAAGCATGATGTGCCTCTCCAAGGACTTGTCCCTCCTTGGAACATGTCCAAAATATGTTAAACGAAGCCTCTGACACAAGGCAAGTGATTGCAAAAACCATGACCTGTATCAGGGACACCTTAGTCTGTCTCCAGACTGACATTGTTGCCCTTCAGTACTTTGACGAGGTTTCTGTCAGCATACTTTCCAAATACAATATGTCTTTTAATTTCTTGGCTGCTGGTGCTAAGAGTGTTGAATGTGGAGCCAAGCTAACTTAAGCTGTTAACAATCTCAATTGCTTCACCATCTATCAGGAGGCTGACAACTGGCCCAGTGGTGAGAATCTTTGTTTTCTTAATATTGAGCTCCAATCCACACTGAGCTTCAATCCATAATGACCTTCTGAATTTATTTAATGGTCACCTTAATATTATAATTTGAATCTCTAAAGACACCTTTTCTTTTTAAAAATTATTTTTAAATTGTGATTTGAGTGAAAATTTGCTGAACAAATTGCTTTTCTATTAGTTAATTCACACATATTTTATGGCATAATTAGAATATCTACACTAAAACCACAAAATTTTTAATAATACTCTGGAAAAATAGGAATTCCAGAACATTTACATATGCTCATGAAAATCTTACAAGCAGAGCAAGAAGCAATTCATCCAACAGAACCAGGGAGAATTATATTGTTTCAAATAAAAAAGGTGAACACCCAAGTTTATTGCAGCTTTGTTCACAATAGCAAGGAGTTGGAAACAACCTAAGTGCCCATCAATTAATGAAAGGATAGAGAAGCTGTGGTATATTCACACAATGGAATACTATGCAGCATTGAAAAACAAGGAACTCATGCAATATTATTCAAAATGGTTGACTCTGGAGAACATTATGCTGAGTGAAATATCCCAGTCACAAAAGGACAAATATTGCATGGTGCCACTGTTGTAGAATGGGAGTGACCTTGGGGTTGGGGAGAGACTGAGTAATATGGGTTCAATAATGTATACTGCACTGAAACAGAGGAGGGAGAAAGCTGTTTAAAAGAGATATGTGAGTAAGTATTTCTGTCGTGACAGGAGTCTAGAACTATGGCTACATGGTGGAGTGGACCTGGGAGAGGGTTTGTAAACAATGAAAGAATTTTACTTTTACTTTTCCAAGAGGGTAGTGTTCTGGGGGCGGGGAGGCTTGGGATGGGAGAAAAGTATAACAATGAATGAATGGAAATCCAAAGTCTCTGTAAATTTTTACTGACATTAATAATAAATTTAAATTTAAAAAAAAACTAAGTTAGAGTAAGGATGGGAATGGATTTATAACTGCTCAAGCTAATAACACTATATCGTGGCATGGAGGAGGAATAGCGGAACTGTATTCATATTTGCAATATTCTTCTTACCAAAACCATTTATGGAAAATAGGAACTGCATTGGAACATGTATCTTTGGATTGGAAATGATCATATAGTTAATACTTCTAGCCGTAAGCTTAAAAGATTATATTGTTCAAAATTATCTGTTATATATTTGTTTAAATTTTTCCCTCTTTTAACAACTGAGATCTAGAGGGAAAAGATCAGAGAATGGTCAAAATTACTGGGGCATCTATTGCTGCCAGGTTAGGGCCTGTGTCAGGAAAAGGAAGTCTTACTCATAAACAGTGCCACCCAAAGGTAATGAAGGTCAGAATCGCTTCCCCTGTGGAAAGCTGGGCCACTTCAGCAGACAGTGTCACAGATGAGAGCCATGGATAGGCAAGGGAGGAGAGAGGAAGCTCCCACTCACTTGCTTTAAGTGTGGATCTTAAGGACACTTGGCCAAGGGTAGACCACATCAGGTCCTCCTGGCTTACAGGACTGACAGGCTCCAGCTCCCAGCTGGAAACAAAGGAGGATGCTTCAATGATTTAGATCCTCCCAGAAGAGCTGAGGGTGAGCATTAACATTACTGGTAAGTATATTCATTTTCTCCTGGACACAAGAGCCTACTATTTGTTCCTAAAAGCCTCCTGAGGTCCCAACACTTCTCACTATTTCTTAGTTGTTGAAATGAATGGAAAACCTCATAAGCAGTTCCTTACTTCACCTCTGCCTTGCATGCGGACGTTCGAGCTGTAAAACCACCCAGTGGTAAATGGAAATTGGTCCAGAACTTAAAAACAATAAATGACATAGCTGAGCCTCTACATCTTGTGGTTCCTAACCTCTATACTATAATAGACAAAGTGCTAGTCTATAGGCTTTTTATTGTAATAACCACCTTCCCTCTGTAACTTGATTTGTGCCACTATTAGAACCTCTACTCGGAATATTATTGCTTTTTAATTTTTGACTCAGGTACTTTTAACTTGTTAGTAAAATTTGTGTCTTCTAGGCTGCAACACTTCCATGATGCATCTTCAAGGATATGAACATGTATGGCTAAGCACAATTGATAACAGTGCATCTAAATTCCAAAATCAATCTCCATAACAGTCTATGTGTTTCCTACTGCCAAAGGGACCTTTAGAGTAGTGAGAGAAGATCTTCACCCTGAAACCCACAGTGTCCCTTTTCAGCAGGAAGTAGCTGAGAGAATATGCCATCTCCTTTCCCTTATGAATCAGAGTAATGTCTCTCTCAGGGAGGAGTGATATGGAATAGCAAAGGACACACTGACAAAGGAGATTAATCAGAACTGGTTTGATAAGCACTGTGGCAATTGAACAATTCAAACAGACTTTCAAGGGGGAAAAAAGAGGAAAGAACTGGGGGGGGTAGGGTAGAGAAAATAGTGCAACAGTGAATAAATGGAAAACCAAAACCTCTGTAAATGTTCATTAAAATTAATAAAATTGGGAAGAACTCTTCCGCCAGATGGAAGGGCTCCGCCATGAGGTGGGCCAGGAAGAGACCCGGGAAGAGCAACAGCCAGCCACCCACTATGGAACTCCAAAGGAGCCAAGACCATGAGACCCCAGAGGAGCAAAGACTACCGGCCACTGTGCGACCACCTGCAGCCTGCACCTGTGTGACCCCCAACACACAGGGTGCTGCTGCATAAACCCCCAGCAGTGCCCAAGTCGAGCTCCCACCTCTTGCTGATAGTGTCCAAGACCTGCGCTTCTTCCCCCCTAGTCCCTTGCTTTCCTCCCCTTCCCCGGCCCCCCTTGCAGCTCCACTACCACGCACCTCAGCCCCCACCACAGCCCTGTGAACTCAGGGCACCACCACGGATCCAGCCATCACCCGGACCTATCAGTCTAGCTGTTGTGGAACTAACCTGGCAGGAGAAAAGCAGGTAGGACCTTGGCTGTGTTTACTGGGGCATGGCTGATTACGTGGGAGAGCACCTAAGGGCATGCCCACTGGTGGGGAAATTGGCCGAGATCTCTTGGGCTGCACCAACTGCCCAAAATGAGCAAGCCAGCTGGCTTCTGTGAACTCTGCAAACCAGCCAGAGGCTAGTGGGTTGGTGGGAATTTGACCTTGACTTTTTGGATCTTGTCAGATCCAGGACCCTGCTGGAGCAGGGGCTGTTGTGTGAGGGCACCTGCATAAGTGCCACCAGGCAGGGAACACTGAGAAAACAACAGGGTAGGAAACGGACAGCAGGAATTTGAATAAGGACCCCAGTCGTTAGCACACTGAGACAACAGAGGTCTGAGCAAGGTCCTCCAAGTGATTGACCTGCCCTTGCGATCACTCAACCCTTTGCCTGCCTCACCCCATTTGGCTCCACACCAGTGCCTACACGTCTAGGCAATCAACTTGCCTTTAAACAGGAGTACCTTGACCTGTTTTAGCAACACAAGAGATTGCCCTAGCAGGTGCTCAACTGACATTTTTCTGAAGTCAGAAAGTCAGAGAAATGCACAAATTCCGTAGCTGCCCATCTGATCTCAAGAACATTGTATTCAGATCAAGAACACATACCAATGTCTCGAAGAAAGCAAACTATCCCACACAATACACAAGAGCAAAGCAAGATGTCACTCACAAATGGTGACACAATAGCAGTGGATACCCTGAAGCCAGAAAGTCTCATGGAACTTTCTGACACAGAATTTAAAAGAGGAGCGA